CCCGTTTCCCACCGCGGAGGAGATGGGCTCGGCCTCGGGCACCGCTGGGGCCCCTGGATGCCGCTCTCTGTTCGCGGGGTCTCAGGGACCCCCCCACCATCACCACCACCCTCCCGGGGCTTCCAGCCGCCTGCGGCTCCGCTGGCCTGGCAGGATGTGGGTGCCCCGGCCAGGTGCGGCGAAAGCACCGAACCACGCAGAAATGGGGAAGCGGCCGAGTTTCAGGCCCCGTTACTGGAAACGAAGCGGGTGGGAAAGGAGAAAAACGAGACCTTGCCCACGCGCAGGGTCCCAGCGCGGCAGAGCCGGGGCAGTGACGTCCCGCCGGTGGGGCAGGTGCCTCGTCCTGTGGCACCGGGGTTTCCCCTGAAACCCCCCTGGGGTCTGAGATGTTTGTGACTTCTGCAGCCGGGGGGATGTTCCCCCGTTCCCATCCACGCAGGCGTGACCCCCCCCCCCCCCCCCCCCCCGCCTCCGCGGCTCGCTGGGACCTGCCGCGGGGCCGTGGCCGTGGCTGGATGCTTGAAGGTACCAGGACACGCTGGCACCCTCCCTGGTCCCCAGCACCTGCCCGGGGGGGGGGACAGCAACTGGCCACGGAGATCCTGGAGCCGCAACACCCAGTGTCAGCGCGGGGAATGGCTGGGCTGGGGCACGGGGACATGGGGACAGCGGGCGTCGGGGACATCAGGAGATGGGGACAGCGGGACAGCGGGCGTCAGGGACATCAGGACATCAGGACATGGGGACAGCAGGTGTCGGGGACAGCAGGTGTCAGGGACATCAGGACATGGGGACATCGGGACAGCGGGCGTCAGGGACATCAGGACATGGGGACATCGGGACAGCGGGCGTCAGGGACATCAGGACATGGGGACAGCGGGCGTCAGGGACATCAGGACCCGGGACATGGGGACACTGGGACACGGGGTGTCGGGGTGGGACACGGGGTGTCGGGGACATTGGGACTCAAGGGACCCAAGGACCTCAGAGACTAAGGGATCCAGGGACTCCAGAGATCGAGGGCCACACGGTCCCAGAGAACCAGCGATCCCAGGGACCCCAGGACATGGGGCTGCCCCCCCCCGCCACGTGCACAACCCGG